CTGTGGCTGACGACCACCTGTTCGGTCTGTAGCTCTCCCAGGGGACCACTGCAGCTGAAGGCCGCGCGTTCCAGTGTGAACTCCTGACTCTCGAGGCTTGAGATCTCCTCCATCATCCGCTCGGGGAAGCGTCGTGGACCTCCTCTCGGGAGGAGGCTGGTCTCCGAGCGCACGCGCGCCCTCTGCGGCATTCCCGACTGTCGCCGCGATGCCGTCGCCAGGGGGGGGCGCAATTTCGGCCGCATCTTTGGCCTCAACAACGAGACCACCCCCGGGACGCTGATAGGAGTGAGGGGCTGTAGGAACGCCTGCTTGGTTGTCTCCTGGACGGGAAGGCACCGGCGCGCTGTGGCTGACGACCGCCCGTTCGGTTTGTGGCTCTCCCAGGGGACTACTGCAGCTGAAGGCCGCGCGTTCCAACGTGAACTCCTGACTCTCTATGCTGCGAGGAGGCTCGAGATATCCTCCATCATCCGCTCGGGGAGGCGTCGTGGACCTCCTTTCGGGGGCAGGCCGGTCTCCGAGCGCAGGCGCGCCCTCTGCGGCATTCCCGACTGTCGCCACGATGCTGTTGCCAGGGGGGCACGCAATTTCGGCCGCATCTTTGGCCTCAACAACGAGACCGCCCCCGGGACGCTGATAGGAGTGAGGGGTTGTAGGAGCGCCTGCTTGGTCATTTCTTGGAGGGGAAGGCACCGGCGCGCTGTGGCAGACAACCGCCTGTTCGGGCCGTAGCACTCCCAGGGGACTACTGCAGCTGAAGGCCGCGCGTTCCAGCGTGAACTCCTGGCCCTCGATGTTGCGAGGAGGCTCGGGATATCCTCCATCATCCGCTCGGGGAGGCGTCGTGGACCTCCTTTCGGGAGGAGGCTGGTCTCCGACCGCGGGCGCTCCCTCAGCAGCACTCCCACCTGTCGCCACGATACTGTTGCCAGGGGGGGGCGGAATTTCGGCCGCATCTCCCGCCTCAACAACAAGACCGCCCCCGGGACGCTGATAGGAGTGAGGGGCTGTGGGAACGCCTGCACGGTCGTCTCCTGGACGGGAAGGCACCGGCGCGCTGTGGCTGACGACCGCCTGTTCGGTTTGTAGCTCTCCCAGGGGACTACTGCAGCTGAAGGCCGCACGTTCCAGCGTGAACTCCTGACTCTCTATGCTGCGAGGAGGCTCGAGATATCCTCCATCATCCGCTCGGGGAGGCGTCGCGGACCTCCTTTCGGGAGCAGGCCGGTCTCCGAGCGCGGGCGCGCCCTCTGCGGCATTCCCGACTGTCGCCACGATTCTGCTGCCAGAGGGGGGCGCAATTTCGGCCGCATCTTCCGCCTCAACAACGAGACCGCCCCCGGGACGCTGATAGGAGTGAGGGGTTGTAGGAACGCCTGCTTGGTTGTCTCCTGGACGGGAAGGCACCGGCGCGCTGTGGCCGACGACCACCTGTTCGGTCTGTAGCTCTCCCAGGGGACTACTGCAGCTGAAGGCCGCACGTTCCAGCGTGAACTCCTGACTCTCTATGCTGCGAGGAGGCTCGAGATATCCTCCATCATCCGCTCGGGGAGGCGTCGTGGACCTCCCTTCGGGGGAGGCCGGTCTCCGAGCGCAGGCGCGCCCTCTGCGGCATCCCCACCTGTCGCCACGATACTGTTGCCAGGGGGGGGCGGAATTTCGGCCGCATCTTCCGCCTCAACAACGAGACCGCCCCCGGGACGCTGATAGGAGTGAGGGGCTGTAGGAACTCCTGCTTGGTCATTTCCTGGAGGGGAAGGCACCGGCGCGCTGTGGCTGACGACCACCTGTTCGGTCCGTAGCACTCCCAGGGGACTACTGCAGCTGAAGGCCGCACGTTCCAGCGTGAACTCCTGACTCTCTATGCTGCGAGGAGGCTCGAGATACCCTCCATCCACCGCTCGGGAAGGCGTCGTGAACCTGATCTCGGGAGGAGGCCGGTCTCCGACCGCAGGCGCGCCCTCCGCGGAGCCACCACCTGTCACCGTGACACTGCTACTAGGAATGGGCGCGCTGTCGGGGGCATATTCGGCCTCCACCAAGACTCTGTGCCTGGGGCGCTGATAGGAATGAGGAGCTGTAGGAACGCCTGTCTGCCTGTCTCTGACAGAAGGAAGAACCGACCCGCTGCGGCTGACCACCGCGTGCTCTGTCTGTAACTCGCCCTGGCGACTGATGCAGCTAACGGCCGCTGGTTGGCGACTGTCTTCAGGCGAAACGCCACCTCCAGATTTGCAGCAATCGTCAACCTCAGATTTACGATTGTCTTCAAGCGGGTCGGTTCTGCGTCCAGGGAGCGCGCTCGCGACGGCGTCCGCCGCGCGCCCAGCAGCCTGGGCCAGGGCCGCGACGGCCGTCCAGAGGGAGGCCTGCGCAGCCTTTGCGGCGGCAGCGGCGCAGGCACACGCGGCGGCGGCGGCGGCTGCGTCGGGCGCAGCACTGGCGCCGACTGCGCGGGCGCTTGGGGCGTCAGCAGCGTCGGCGGCGAAGGCGGCGCGGGGCGCGGGCCGCCGGACACGGGCGGCGCCAACTCGCCCGAGGGCGTCGGCTGCGTCCGCGGCCCTGGTCGGCGCGCGCGCGTGGGCCGCCGTAGCCACGTCGGCCCCCCAGAAGGCGCTGGCGGCGGAGGCCGCGGCGGGGCAGCCATCGCCAGCGGCGCCAGCGGCGTTGGCGGCGCAAACGGCGGCGGACGCGCCCAAGGGAGAGGACGCCTCCGACGCGTTGGCAGCGCCAACCGCGTTGGCCGCGCTGGCGAGCCCAGGGGGGCGGCCGCCGGCCGCGGCAGCAGCGCCCAGGCGGCGCTGATTCGCAGCACGCCCTTGTCGGCGCCGCCGCGCCGCCGCAGTCTCCATCGCCCGGGGCTGAGCGCCAAACACGCATGGGGGGAGCGCGCCGTCTTGACTGCCAGGATTACCAGGGTTGCGACTGAAGGTCGCCCTTTCACTCTGCACTGCCAGGCATCTGCTTGGGACCCCGCTACTTCCTCGGCTGAAGGCCGAATTGTTACTCGTACTGTCGCCAGGAAACACGGGATTAATCGGCGAATCCGAAATGGGATTGGTCGGCATGCTGGGGGCTGGATCTGCCTGAGATGCTGGCTGCGCTGCGCGGTAACGACCCAGGGGGCAGCTGAAGGCTGCACTTCCAATGAAAGAATCCTCCAGATAGTCGTCAGTCGCCCTGGTCACCACGGCTGGAGCCGCCTCGAAATTCTGAGTTCCTGGTGTCCTGAGGCTGGTGCTGCTGCAGCTGCTTCGGCTGCTGTTGCTGCCGCTGCTGCCCTGCCGGTGCGTCTGCCCGCTGGGAGCCTGTTGGTGCTGCAGCGGCGCGGCCGCAGCGGCGCCGGCCTCGGCGGGCCCAAGCGCGGCAGCGCGGGCCACGGCGGCAGCGGCGCCGGCCGCGTGGCCCGCGGCCGCAGCGGCGGCCGCCTCCGCCACGGCCGCGGCGGCGGCGGCGGCGGCGGCCGCCGCGGCGCAGGCGGCCGCAGGGGCGGCGGCGGCGGCGGCACCGGCCGCCGAGCCGCGGAGCAGCAGGCCACAGCGGCGCCCGCGGCGCCGGCGGCGCCCGCGGAGCCAGCGGCCTCGCCGGCGGCGGCGGCGCAAGCGCCGCGCCCGGCGCAAGCGGCGCCTGCGGCGCCAGCGGCGTCGGCGGCGCCCGCGGCGCCACAGGCGGCGGCGGCGCCCGCGGAGCCGACGGCGCCGCCGGCGCAGGGGCCGCCAGCGGCGCCGGCGGCGCCCGGCGGCCGCAGAGGCGGCTGCGGGCGGTCGCGGGGGGCGGGGGCGGCAGCGCCGGCGGCACTAGCCGCAGCAGAGGGCGGCCCGCGTCGGGCCGCGCAGCCAGGCTGCCAGCAGGGGGCGGCAGCCTCGATCGGCGGCGGCCGCGGCGAGCCGCGCGGCCGCGCTGACAGCAGGGGCCGCGGCGGCGGCCGCGGCGGCGGCCCCAAGAACCGGTCCCGAGGTCTGGGTCGAGACCTCTGGGGGTCGACGCCACGAAAAAATCATGACGTCGGGGGTCTGGGGAGGGCGCGGAGGAGAAGGGGGGGGGAGGGGGGCGGAGGGGAGCGATGGAAAGGGTGTCGCCCACGTCGCAAGACGCGCGGCAGGAAGCGGTCGGGCCGCACCCCCCGCACGAGGGGCCGAAAGGTCGCTCTCGCCGCGGCGTCACGCGCACTGCTCTGGCACGTTGGGTTCCCGCTTTTTGGGGGCGCGGCGCACATTTTTCGCACGCAGTTGCGTCGACGCGAGAGCGCACGAAAATGTCACTCCTGCACCAGCGCCGCGCAGATTTCGGCGGACGCGGCGCTCCCGCCTCGGCGCGGCGCAGACTCTTCACTCGCCAACGTTGGGGGCCCCGCGCGAGCGGACAACTTGTCGCCCTCGCCCACGCTCCGTGCACACGTCACGCGGAAGTAGCGTTCCCACGCGCGCGCCCTGAGCTCTTCCACGGGACCAACTCTTCGTCCCTAGGGCTCCCAACTTCGCGCTTCGCGCTGCGCGAAGCGCGAAGCGCGAATAACTTCGCGCTCTCGCGCCGCCCCCCCAAAGGGAGAAAAGGAGGACGAGGAGGAGGGGGAGAAGGAACGAGGACCGCGAAGCGCGAAGCGCGAATAACTTCGCGCCCTCGTGGGAGCCCTTGTCGTCCTGAGTCATCTCTTGGAACAGCCCCGGGGCCCCTGGGCGGTCTCAGGAGCCCGAAAGCGGAGAGACACCCGCAGGACTCATTTGCCTCCGGAGCCATTCCCTTCATGGCAAGATCTGTCAGCATCGAATCGGGAAAAGGATCGAGTCGAAATGTACGTCAGATCGGGCTGCATCGACGCGGAGTCGGAATCGAACCCGATCGGCTGCGCCAAGATGCACATCAACGGCATGCAAATGTAGGGCCGCATTGGATCATCAAGACATCGAAACCGAATCGGATCGGGCTCGCCGAGAACGATACCGACTCAGATCGACACCTGCATCGCGGCCCCCCTCCCTCCGCCTGGGCAGCTCAACCGCGGCCGGCATCGCGAGGCGCCGCAGGGGGCGGCGAGGCTCCTGCACCCGCAAAGCGAACTAGAGCCGGTCGGCTCTGGCACAAGTCGGGGTGGGGATCCGCGCAAGCGGCGCCTTCGGGCTGTTGGGAGAGAGCACGGGCCTGCAGCCGGTGGCGAGAACGAAAACCAGGGGAGGGAGAAGAGGAGGATGAGGAGCAGGGGCAGGACAGCAGACGAGCCACAATAAAACGACAGTGGAGCGAACGCCTCTCGGACCTCTCCTAAGTGCCACTGGACTTCTTCGTCGAAGCCCGTCTCCGCCCGAAGATGCGCCTGGGGCGCTCTCGCTGCGAGGCGTCCTCCCCCTCCTCCCTCTTCCGCCTCCACATCCTCCTCCGCCTCCTCCTCCTCTTCCTCCTCCTCTTCCCTCTTCCCTCCTCCACATCCTCCGTCCCCCCCTCCTCTTCCCTCTTCCCTCTTCCCTCTCCCTCTTCCCTTTCATCTTCCCTTTTCCTCCTCCACATCCTCCTCCTCCTCCTCTTCCTCCTCCTCCTCCTCCTCATCTTCCTCTTTCTCCTGCCAGTCTGGTCTGGACTGCGTCCCCGAGTGAGAGCATCTCGGACTTCTGCGGGCAAGGCAGCCAAGAGAGGCTCCGTTCCGCCCCCCCCCCCCCTGCACGTTTTCGGTCCCGCGTTTGTCCCCAGTCCTCCTCCTGCCCCCCCCCCCAACCAGCTGTTCTCCTTCCTTCTGCGTCACCTTCTCCTCCTCCCCACCACATCCACTGCCCTCCGCCCCCCTCCGTCCTATCGGCCGCCTCCCCCCTGCGTCCCCTAGTCCTCCTCCACCTTCCACCCCATTGGCGCAAGCCGTCGAGGCTCGAATCCAGAAACCTTTCGACATAATTCCACAGCCCTTCCCATGAGGACCGCTCTGCGACGCTGGGAAGAGAAGCGCCTGACACGTAGAGGTCCTCCAGATGCCAATGTGCATATATTTTCCTCTTCGTCATCACACCAATGTCATCAGCCTTCTTCTTCACATTCGTATGGTTCGCATATGTTGGATTCGTCTTCAAGATCTCGTTGCTCAACGAAGGACTCTGCAGGTTCAGGTCCCTCGAGCAGGGGCGTGGGCGATTGACGCCCCCATAGTCTAATGACGAAGCTTGGAGACAACATACTGCGTGGCGTGGTGAGATTCGGCCCAACGCAAGGTGCCACGCTCGGAGTGCATGCAAACCTTGCGCCACACTTGCTCTGGACTCTCGCTGCTGTGTTCCAGCTTGCAAGGCCGACGGTGCGGCGGCACCCTCAATTGCAGACCTCATGGCACCCTTCGTTGCAGATCTTGTGCTCATTATTCAGGCATTGTGCACTGGCCCATGGGCTTTGGCCGGTAGAACGGTTGACACCCATGGGAGGGGATGATTAAACTGGTGACCCTTCTCTGGACTGGCGACTGGCGCACCCTTCCGTCAAGTTGGACACATTCGAGTTGATGTCGACGCTGGCCCGGGTCAATCCAGACCCGGGTCAGTCAGGCGTTGCAGGATCCTGCGAGATCCTGCAGGATCCTGCAGGATCCTGCACCCAAGCCCAGGTCGGTGTACCCCTGGCTCTGCAGGATCATGCAAGACCCGGCGCTCTGGCTGATCCCCTGTTGCATTGAGCCCCGTCTCTCGGGGGCGCGCAAACATGGATTAGCGATCCATGAATTTGGCGCGCAGTCGCCAAATCCATGGATCGTGGGAGGTGCCCTGCCCAAAATGCGGCCGGTGCCGCCTCGCTCGGCGGCGGAAATCCGCGATTTCCCTTGGAAACAGGACCCGTCGCTAATTCACGCCTCGTTGATCCATGTTTACGATCGCCTGAGAATTTGAGGTCGTCTGCATGGCCCGGGCTCTACCCCTTCAATCAGGGGCCCCACGGGGTCCCGCAGGAGTGCCCACTGCCCCCCCGCGGGGGCCCCCGGGCGCCTCAGCGCCATGGGCCGCCGCCCCACGGGCCAATTCAGCACGGAGCTCACGGAGGCCGAGTTTGTCGTGACGGGCCCATTTTCCACCACCACTACCATATGTAGGAGAGGGAGGAGGAGGAAGACGAGGAAGAGGAGGAGGAGGAGGAGGAGGAGGAGGAGGAGGAGGAGGATGAAGACCTCCTCATCCTCCCTTCTCCCCCGTCCTACACATGGTAGTGGAGGTGGAAAATTTGCCCATCATGTCGCCCGCTAGATTTTATCTAGCTTTTGTTGTGCATGTCAATCGTGCTGTAATTAATGCTGGGTGTGCCCCCTCTGCACCTGCGTCATGCTCCACTTCTTCCTCTGGCCCGTCCTTGCTTGGAATGAACACGCTCGCCGCGCATTAGTCTGGATGGCTTTTCGAGACTGGCCACCCCAGGCGTGCTGGGTCGCAACATGCCTCAGAGCTCGGCAGAGACAGAGGCTGCGCAGTCACAGACTGAGAACTCTGTGGCCTCATCGTGTCTCCTTCCCTCACCCTCTTACGCTGTCATCCTCCGCCTCTGCCGCTATGCTCCTCCTCCACCACTCCCCAGTCCAGGTGGGCAGGCCACTGTCCGCATCCCCCTCCGTCGACCTGCTCGCGGGTGCGCTGAAGCCCGAGGGGGGCTTCCAGGAGGAGAGGAGCTATCGGAGGCCTGGAGCTTGACACCAACACCAATAACGGCGGTGTGCCTCCACAGAAAGGAAATGATTCCGATCTCGGCTTGGTGGTAATATTCGGGCTCCCTGGGTAGCCGAAAGATTACCACCAGCACCGAAATCGAGGATCATCCTCCCCCTGTGAAGGCAATCCACCTTGTGTTAGTGTTGATGCCCATTCCCAAGCCTCCCAGGCTAGCACTAGGTCGGGCATGTCCTCCTACAGACGGATTGTGGACGAAAAATTAAACATATTTTACAGATAAGAAACACAATCTTCAAAACTAGTCAAAACATCGTCCCCAGACTATGTTTTGAGTATTTTTGAATCTTCCCCCTGTAGAGGGACATGCCCGACTTCAGGTTAGCATCACGGCCCGGGACACGTGCACGGACGAGGGGGGCCAGGGGGTGTGCCGAAAGCAGGAGCAGCAGCAGCAGCACCTGGAAGACATCGTGGCCCCAGCCCTAGATGATGATGACCCAGGCCCCCTCGACTTAGGTTATTAAACAAATCACGGCAGGAGGTTCTTCGCTATTTTCGGCCTCCAGGGCCTCCACCGGGCCTCGGAACCGTCAACGAAAAGACTCAGGACGACAAATCGGACCCGGGGAATGGGTCCAGACCGCTGGGGGTCCACGGCATGAAAAAATCATCACGTCGAGGGTCTGGGAAACATGCTGACATACTGGGGGGGCGGTATTGATTTGTTCGTTCTCAAGATCGACGTTGTGGTTTCGTTCTGGCTCCGTTGTTGTCTCCGTTTCAGGGTTCTCGCTCGCGCCAAGTTTCCATTTCGGTTCCGCTGTGTACTGCTGTTCTCCCCGTTCTTCTCGGCCGGAAACCGAAACGCAATCACGCGAAGCAAAACGTACCCCAGCGCTTCCTGCATCAGCGAAAAGCCCCTCAGTCCTCATCTCCTATCAGACGCCTCCGACCCACGGCCAGAAACCTGGGCTTGGGACTGGGGTCCGAGACCTCCGACGTCATGAATCTTCAAAGACGTGGACCCCCAGCGGTCTGGACCCATTCCATGGGACCAGTGTTTCGTCCTCAGTCGTTTTTGACGGCCCCGAGGGCCGGTAAGGGCCCCCAGGGGCCGAAAGTAGCAAAAAACCATCCGCCGTGTTTTTTTCAGAACTCGAGGGGGTCTGGGGTCGGGGCCAGGGCCGGGGCCGGGGCCAAGGCCTGCCGGAGGCGGGGCCGGGGCCGTGGCCGAGGCTGGGGCCGGGGCTGCAGCTGGGGCCGGGGCCTTGGCTCCCAGGACGGGCCCGAGGACACCTCCTGGGCGGCAGCGCCTCGCCTGCTCGCTCCGTGCCGCGCCTGGCCAGGGCACCGAGCGGGGGATTTCTCAAGTTCTCCGCCGCCTCGGGCGGTGTGCGCTGCGAGCAGGAGCACGGCAGAGCCACTGGCAGAGGCGGCGGAGAGCCTGAGAGATCTACCTTAAAAGGGGGTGGAGGACCCAAGACCCGGAAAGGGAGGTGAATCGGACAGAAGACGAGACGAGAGCGAGGAACCATCCGGGCGAGGGCGAGTCGAGAATCTCTGAGATCCGGCGGCTCTGGAGAACGCCTCGGGCGCCGCGGCCCTCTCAGAGCGTTCCAGAGCGCTCCGAGAGCGTTCCGGAATGCTCTGGAACGGGTTTATCCTCGTCCTAGCCCCGTCCGACGATATCGGGAATCGGACATCGTCCTGCATCATGCACAGCGTGGGTGCCGCACGGTGGGGCCGAAACGCCTCGCAAATGCCGGCAAGAGTGACAAGTACACCCACAATGAGATAGTGTACTCCTGATCGCAATGTGATGAGATGCATGGCGAGGAGGCGATCGCCGGAAAGTGAGGTGCACGTGGGGAAGAAGAAGGAGAAGAAGAATAATAAGAAGAATAAGCACAAGAAGAAGAAGAACATGAAGATGAAGAAGAAGAATCAGGGGAATAATAAGGATAAACAAGATAAGAAACATGATGCGTCTGGCGTCGCAGAGACAGCGTGCAACACCGATCTACGCAGAGCACGCGATCCCCCAAAAGCATACGACTGCCTCCGTGCACGCTGTCCCCGAGGGGCAGTACCCCCGGCGAGGGCCCCTTCTGTTAGGTCGGGCATGGCCCCCCTACAGGTGGATTTCGGACGAAAAATTAAACATATTCAAAAATACACTAGAATAACCAAACATGGTAGAAACATATTCCCCATACTATTTCTTGACCACTTTTGAATCTTCCCTCTGTAGAGGGACAGGCCCGACTTAACCCTTCTGTGCACGCCATCCCCCTGCCGGGGCTGCCTCCGTGCACGCAATCCCCAAGGCAGGAGATAACGTGTAATAAACGGGCCAGGGGCACCACATCGAACGCGGTTTCTTGCAACGCCAGCCGCAATTAGAAGCGTAACAA